AGGAAGAACAAATGACAAATTGTTATTTCTTTCCTTCTAGAGAGCACTATGAACCCAGAAGAAACAGTTCTGCGCAAACTAGGCTATGAAATGCAGTGTAGATATGCCTCCCCTACATTTCTTATGGTTTTCCTACATGTGGGGGACTCTGAGGAATTTTATTTATCCTCAAAACTGGCATCAAAATACCCATCCATTCTAATTATCAAGTTGCTGCATTCATTTCCTGAGAGTCACTTCTGAAATAGGTAGAAAAGAAGGACAATTACATGCTCTTATTTCTACATACTCTTTCATGAAATCTGAGTATTTTGGTTGAAATGTGAAATACTTTGTAGTAGCTTGCCTTCTGTAATTTAAACAAACAAAAAATAAATACTTAGGCACACCTGAAAGGCTCAGTCGATTAAGCTTCCGACTCTTGATTTTGGCTCAGGTCATGATCTCAGGGTCCTGCAATCAAGCCCCACATCGGGCTCTGTGCTCAGTGGAGAGTCTGTTTGAGATTCTCTCTCCCTCTCCCTCTGCCCCTCCCCACCTTCCCTCAAATCAATAAATATAGCTTTTAAAAATAAATAAATACCTAGGTCCCACCTGTCTTACGAACTGGATCTCTAGGAATGGGGCCCAGGAGTCCATATTTTAATAACCTCCCAGCCGATCTAACCTATTGCCTCCCTGACTTCATGCATCTACAGGACGTTTGCTATCTTCACATTGCCCCTTTGGCTCTTTGACTCAAGTTGTTTCAGATGAACTGTAAAATTGTAGTCATCCTAAACAATATCCATTACATCACAATTTTAATGCACTGTTTTCCAAAAATACACATCAAAACCTAACTATTTTAAAAATTTCTTATGGGCCAGCTGAAGGCACCCCTGCACCACCCTACCACTGAAAGCAGCAAGTTTGGGAGGAGTGGGTCCAGCTGCTGCTGGGCCCAGGGTGATAGGAGCCAAACTGGCACCCTATCCCCCATTCTTCCAGGACGCCTCTTGCTAGGCCTGAGTGCCCTCACACAGCCCTGTAGGAAGCCCCTCACTTCCAGGATGCATCCCCCTTCCCTTCTCCTTCCCCTTCTTCTGTTACCCCAACCAAACTAACTCGTAAGGACCAATCTGAGAACAGTGTCACTGAAGCACATTAAGGCACATTACAATATAATTTGGTGATGGATAGCAGGTTTAATCCCAAATATGCAATTGTTTTCCAAGAGTGGGACTCCTCCCACAGATGTGTTCGTAGAGCCCTTTCCACCCAGCATCTTGCCAGTTACTGTGCCCACTTCTCCAGCGCCATTTGTTGCCAGTCCTCTGGGGGATGACTGCTGCAGCCATACTGGTTTTCAGTCCTCAGAACACACCCTGCTTTCACTCTCTCAATACGCAAGCTTCTTCCTGACGTAGGGCCTTTGCATTTGGTGGACTCCCTGAAGAGACTGCTGCCTACACATTCATTTGGTTTCAACTTAAATGTCACGTCTTATTCAGAGGCAGCTCCTGACCAACCAACCCAGCTAAAGTGACACCACTCCCCACAACACCCACATCCTCCAGGTCTCTCTCTCACAGTGGCTTTCAACCAGAGGTTATAGTACCTCTCAGGAGACATTTGTAGTTGTTGCAACTGGAGGGGCCCAACTGTCTCCTCCAGTGGGTAGAGGACAGGGATGCTGCCAAATATCCTACAATGCACAGGACCACCTCCATAACAAAGGGTTATCTGGCCCCAATGCCATAGTTGAGAAGCCCAGCTACCACTATCTTCTTTTTCCCCTCCATATTAATTAGTACCAGAATTGATTGTTTGGGGGTTTCTCCCCTACTAAATTGGAGCTCCTCAGGAACTGGAGTTAAATCTTGCCCCACTTGCCTTTTTCCTGGGAGTTCACAGCAAGTTGGAGATGCCAGGCTCCAACTAACAGATGAAACTGAGAAAGCAACAAGTCAATTTTCAAAATGAAAACAAAAATCTCTTTTATTAATGAGTGTACCTATAAATGAAACTAGTCACAAAGAGTCCCTCATACTTTCATGTACCCACAAAATTATCTTAGTGATTAATGATTAGCCATTAGTCAAAGCTTGGTTCTGCTACTTCTTAAAGACGTGCAAAATTTCCCAGGTTTAAATATCTTACTTACACCAGTGTCCTAATGTCTCAAGATAGATTATAGAAAATGGAACCTCAATTGTCTCGAAGGATTGAAAACAAGTCAATACATTCTACAAGATGGATATAGTCACAGAAAAGAATTAAGTATTAACTAAATACTTCCCCTTCCTCTCTTCCCACCTGTTCATCCTCTACAGTACACATTTTTCTACAGTATAAAATTAGCCAAATTACCCAATATCAACTTTTCCAAAAAAGATATATTACTCCCACCCACCCACCCCAAAAAAAGTACCATATAGCAAAAGACGTATGAATGCAACACCATTGAAATTATTTACTCAGTGCTAAGGCTAAATCTGCTCTTACTGCAAACTCAACCAAAAAAAAAAAAAAAAACACAACAAAAAAAAGCTGTTTGTATTTCTGTAGTGTTTTCTACTTTCCAAAGAGTTGAAGTAACATGTCATTGGAATTACTGCTACACACCAATATAATTATGGAAATAATTATGCCTGATAGATTAGAAAATGTAGGCAACAAGAAAGATTTACCCTAATGTCATCCAGTGTTTCTGTTAAGAGTTAAGACTAGAACTCAGGTCCTAGTCCTAATTCTGTGTACCACCTCCTTTCCACATGTCCTTATATATTGTTTCACAGAATGCTACTGGATAGGCCAGTAGTCACCGTGTTCATGGGTTTCAAGCAAATTTTGAAAATCCTGGATTAACAGAATTAACCAGACTCCCAGAATTTTAATGTGGCTTCATAAATCTCCAGGAAGGGAATGGAGAATAGGGCTGTCATAAATTCAAAGTCCCAGTCACAAAGCAGGGAACAAATGTGTGTGTGTGAGCAGGCAAGGTGAAGACTAGGGGCAGAAGGGATGTAGCACCATTTAATGGGGCCCTGACGATGTAGGAATGTTGCCAGGTCTTTCCAGAGAAGCTACAAATCCAGGCTTTAATCCAAGATCTCCATGTTTATGCATGTTGTCTTGAATTTAAAAGAAAAACACTACAGTTTAAACAAAATGTCCTGGGCCAGATCAGGTCTTGGCCCCAATTAGGAAACCCAGTATAGCATGTTTAACAATCTTATTTGCCCATATAACCTTTATTCAGAGGTCCTGTCCATTTCCTAGGACTCTGCAGAACAATGTCAAAGATGTTGTCTTCAGAAATAAACTAACATCCTGCCCTCCTAGACCACTATGGTGTAACTCTGAACCCTAAGCAGGAGTTATTTCAGTGTGTACCCAGATTGAAATTAATACCCAGCCTCCTTAACTGTTCACGTAGCAAACCCTCTGGTGACCACAGATATCCTCGCCATTAACCTTTGTTTAACTCTTGGAAAAACCAAAAATTTAATTGAACTGTGAAAAAAGGAATAGCATTGGAAATGGTTTGCTATTTAAAAAAAAACCATCAGAGAAAGACATGTATCATATGATCTCACTGATATGAGGAATTCTTAATCTCAGGAAACAAACTGAGGGTTGCTGGAGTGGGGGTGGGGGGGAGGGATGGGGTGGCTGGGTGATAGACATTGGGGAGGGTATGTGCTAGGGTGAGCGCTGTGAATTGTGCAAGACTGCTGAATCACAGATCTGTACCTCTGAAACAAATAATGCAATATATGTTAAGAAAAAAAAAAAAGAAGAAGATAGCAGGAGGGGAAGAATGAAGGGGGGTAAATTGGAGGGGGAGACAAATCATGAGAGATGATGGACTCTGAAAAACAAACTGAGGGTTCTAGAGGGGAGGGGGGTGGGGGGATGGGTTAGCCTGGTGACGGGTATTAAAGAGGGCACATTCTGCATGGAGCACTGGGTGTTATGCACAAACAATGAATCATGGAACACTACATCACAAACTAATGATGTAATGTATGGTGATTAACATAACAATAAAAATTTAAAGAGAAGATTTAAAAAAAAAAACCCACCCTTCATCTTTCCAAAACAATTTTAAAAACTGCAGTGGTATGAGGACAATTTAGAATTTTGATTCAAACTAGTAACACTGTCAAACAACACTATTATATTTGCAAAGAAACTTTTCTAAAGCAGGAAGCCTTTTAGCCTTCTCCCTTTTTTTCTTCTATTTATTTCTGCCCTGCCTCATTCTAAAAATTAGTTCAGAGAGCATGACAATTGTCTATACAAGTGCTTGGAACTGTGGAACAGATGTAGCAGAAATAGCATGCAATAAATCATATGGCAACTGATTATCTTTCCCTGGTATCTACTTGGTCCACTTACTACCCTAGTTTCTTCTAACTGCTAAAATACCCACTTTGGGTCCAGGGAAAGCCTTAATATGGTATATTTCCAGAGCCATGAGAAATCAGATTGACCTATAATGGTGAAATCACATTCACTTCTATTTCCCCATGGGGAAATAAAGACCTGTGTAACCCCATGATTTGAAAGCCTTGGGGAACCTAAGAAATATAACATTTGGAGTTACAAGGTAAAAAACAAGAGATTATCATGAAATGCTTCCAAGTGAAGTCCTTTAAGTCCCAAATCAAATTTACTGATTTTAACTCCTACTCTGCTCTTCTTGACAGCTTTGGTGACCAAGGTGGTAGTTCTTCTCCTGTCTCACCAGTGAGAATATGTAATTCTACAGTGTTCATGTTTGGGAGAAAGATTGAAGAAGTTTTAGCACAAAAAATTAAAACTCTATGACCAATGAAGTTGACTGTACACAGATAAAACAAAGTCACTCTACCCAAAATAACTGACATGTTGGAATATCATTGGAAATTGACAGAAAAATCATTCTAGAGCTTAAAAGAACTCTGACATGGTGATATCTTGTCACTGTCTTCTGCAGTCAAGGACATAAATCCTCAGAGGGCCACTGGGTCTTAATCCATGACATAAAGATTGTCCTCGATAATGTAGATATTGTCTTCTGCTCGGACACCCACTTCAGCTGCACTTTGCAAAGCTCCAGTCCGAGGGTCATTCAACGAAACCATGCTACAGAAAGAATAACATGAGTCTTTAAGGAAAAGCAGACCACTTCTAAAGTATGATGAGCACATTTATGTACATGCAGGCAAGGCTGAGTATTTCCAACTCCCAGAGCCCTATGAAATAGTGAATAGGAGATCCATATTAAGTTGCTGGAGTCTGTTTAATAAGCAGGTAGAAAACCTAAGTATTCTCCTTGAGAAAACTCCTGCAATAGAATACAAAAAATGAAAATCTAAGAAGACTGGTGTCAGACATCGAATTGAAGGTCCTAAATCAAGATGCCTATTCTCAAGGGTAACTAAGAAATGGTTTGGTTGCTGTTTTTCTAACTGTGGATTGTACTCTTCCAGAGAGGGTCATTAAGTCTATTTAGCAGTCTACAACCTGCATTTAGGATATATACAGAATACAAAATATATCAGAACATACTGGATACAGCAAAATAGTATTGCTTCACATAAGTGTGTACTGGATCATGGTGTCAGAAGTCTTATAGAAAACATAGTGTCTTAATGATCCGAATTTGAAAGCCATGGGTTAGACAAAGTTCATAACACATACACTCATCCGTAAGTGTACAGAAAGGGCATGTGTGCCATTTTGATACAGCTGCTGTTTTCTAATTGGTAGAGAGTGCCTGTTTTTATTACTTAAGCCTGCCCAGAAATGATAATGGAACATGCTGAGGCTTCACTCAGCTTTGATCTTTAAGTGACCACTCACACATGTGTGAGAATAGGCTAGGCGTCAGTAGCTTGAAATGAGTCAGTGTGAACCACAAAAAAGAAAAAAAAAATGAAAAAAACTTATGATGAAATGCTCAGGGTTTTTTGTTCTTGGTTTTTTTAATATATCTTATAAGATTTTCTACAGTAACTATTTTCTTTTATGATTAGGTGATAAAAAGCCTTTAGAAAAAGTTAGCAGTGAAAGAACAGAGATCAGCTAAACGGATGCTACGTTCCATGCTTTTCTGCCTGTTAGGAGCAATTTCTTTCTTCCATTCTTGGAAGCACATAGTCAAAAACTTCTATAAGTATGGGTATGGGACTTTAAAAGATCTAAGACTGAGTCTTTTAACTGCTGTATGGTGTGACTTTGGATGTCACTTAACACTTCTAAACCTGTTCTCCAGTCTGTATGCTGAGAATAATAGCGCCTATCTCTTGGGTGTATTGCCGCAACAGGCATAATTGCAATAAGAGAAAACCAGGATTTATGGAGCACTTACAATACAGTGGGCATTGTTCAAGGTGCATTCAGCAGATTGGCTCACGTAATTAACTCAGATCTAGGCAAGACTGTGTGCAAACATCCAATGAAAGAGCACTAGAAATAATGTGTGGCAATCTAAGAGGGATGGATTTTGAATCAAAGACCTTGCTTAAAGCCCAAGCTGTACCAAATGAAGCAAGCTACTTGGATTTGGAAGTAGTGGCTTCCTACTATTGTAACTATTCTAGCAGATGACCACAGGCCATATGCAAGTAAAGGGGATCTAAGTTTTAATTGGGCAGTAGGATGGATTTACAAAAATTGTAAATTCCAATGCCTATGAGGCCAGAAAACCAATGCAAATGAGCAGAACAGGCTGGGAATGGAACAGCAGGGGAAGACAGGAACTATGGAGAGCTGAAGGCATTTGCCCCACCACAGTGCCTTTGCACTTCTTCAGCCTGGAGTTGTCTTCTTCCAGATCCTTGCAGAGCTGCCTTCTGTTCCTTTGGGACTCCCTCAAATAGCCCATTACCTTGCTCTGTTTTCCCCCATGGTATTTGTCTAGAAGCATTAAAAGGACTCTGTTTATTTGCTTATGTGTTTTCTGTTTTGTTCATCTCTTTGAAATATAGTAGACATTCAATAAACATTCAATAAACAAAGCACTGAATGAAATTAAAGAACAAACCAAACAACTCATTCAAATGTTCCATCAAACAAAATTTGTGATCTCTTGCTCTAAGAGGTTAAGACTGAGATGCTCCTTCTGTAGCGTTGGGGGACAATTCCAGAGAAATATAGATAGCTAAAAATATCACTAGTAGTTGTGGATAACAATAGAGGTGCTCATTAAGCTAGATTTTTCAGGATCTAGGGTATAAAATGAAGAGTTTAGGAGAAAAAGAAGACAGAGAGAAATTTTTCTTTATTTTTGGTAGAGTAGAAATATCAAAAGGTACTGACAAAAACTCTTTCAAACTTACTTTAGTTGTTCCAGCTTGTTTCTTATGCATAAGTATTCTAAATTGGAGAGGAGTTAAAGAGAAAATTAAACACATTGGCCAAAGAGTTTATGAGATCTTTTTTCAAACAAGTATATTATTTCTATTACTTTCCTATGAACAAAATCTGTACAGAGCTAGAGCCTAAAAAAATAAATTTAGAAGAAAGTATGTTTAAAAAAAAAAAAAACCAGACTGGACGATTCCCAAGTTACTCAGGTAACTCCTTTTGAATCAGTAAGATCCAAACAAATTTCTGAGTATGAAGTATTTCATTTTCATGAATGGTTTAGTGCTTTCACCCATATGCCCAGGCTTACTTTTAATGCAATTATTAATAATTAAATATCATTTTTAAAAAAATGAATGACTGTGGTTCTTTCATAGGAGACAGGCTACACACACACATACCACACCACACGCGCACACACACACACACACATCACACACACCATATACCATGCACACACATCACACACACATTACACACACACACACCCATACACACACCACACACGCCACACACACATCACGTGCACATACACACGTACACACACAATACACCCAAACACAACAGCTGGATGGCTACCTCTTGAAGTCCTGCTTCTGGCCCTAGCCCTGAAGTCAGTTTCCCTTCCAATGTTTCATTTGCCTCTCCTGTTAAATGGGTCTTATAAAACTCAACAACATCATCCCTCATGGGGACAAAAACTGGTTCTTGAGGGGAGTGGAAAAGGAGTGAACAAATCATATATGGTTTGTTGTCTTCCAAATCCCAAGTCTACCCAAAACATTCTCATTTTTTAATATTTAATTCCACATCTGGAGAATTTATATTGCATCTTTCTCTTTGTAGGTCAATAATTTAAAAAGAGAAAATAGTTTAGGAAACAGAAATTTATGTGAAATCTCAATCACATGGCAGTTTGCCTCGAGGACCCCTTGCTCTGTTCCCTTAGGTACAATCCTGAAATAACTTACTTTTGGTAATCACGACAACCAGCACAGAGAGCAATACCGCAGCAGTAATGCAGATGCCAATGTAGAGTCCCTTACTGGTGGTCATCCATGGATTTTGTGCCAGCAACACATGCTAAGGAAACATCGGTGGATCAGAAAAGCATCATGTCAGAGTTATGGATAGAAGACATTCCCTAAGGGGCACCTGGGTGGCTCAGTCAGTTAAACGTGTGACTCTTGATTTCAGCTCAGGTCATGATCTCAGGGTTATGAGATTGAGCCCACATTGGGCTCCGAGCTTGGCTTGGAGCCTGCTTAAGATTCTTTCTCTCTCCCTTTCCCTCTGCCCCTTCACATCCCCCCCTCCACACAGCCACCCCATGCTCTCTCTCTCCCTCTCTAAAAAAAAAGACATTCCCTAAAATAATGTACTTGGACCCATTTATCTTTGTTGGCCCTTGGCTATTTCTGGCTCAAGAAAGCTAAGACCAAGTGATCTGAGGTTATAACCATATGGTGAAATTCAAAGACCATTTAAAATTCAAAATGTATTTGGGGATGGTAAAAATGTTTTGTATCTTGAGTGGGTGGTATTTACAAAGGTGTATGCATTTCTCAAAACTCAAAACTGTATGCTTCAAATGGGTGTACTTTATTGTATGTAAATTATACATATTTTTAAAAATCAATAAGCTATTTCCATAAATATATCCTGATATTAGAAAAGAAAACATAATTTTTGTTCATATATAAGTTGACCTAGTGATGTTACCTGAATATCCTCAGTTATTGAAATTGGTCCTTGATTAGAGTCCTTTTTTTTTAAGCTATAATTTAAGATTCTTTGTCTACATAAATGGACTTGAAAGTAGGTGCTCACAGACATGGCCATCTTTAACAACCAACCTGAAATGCTGTCAATTGGGTGGAGATGCAGAAATTTGTTTAAACATCTTAGTGCAGTTTGTAAAGGATCACTACCTTCTGGAATAAGCCTGAAATATGCCAAGCATCACACTCAGCCCTTTTACATAGCTTAGTTCTAATCCTAAAGAAATCCCAGAGGATAAGTATTTAAGAGAAAAGATCAGAGAGAAGGATCAAGTCTCTTCCTGTATAAAAGTTTAATCTCTGGAGTCAGGATCTCCTCTCTTCGACTTAGTTGCTGTGTGACCCTGGACAAGTTATTCAGCCTCTCTGAACCTCTGTGTTTGTGTCTGTCAACTACGGATTAAACAGGGTTCTCGGGAAAGGTACTTTTAGGTACCCCCTGATAATACTATGAGGAAGATAGGGATAAGGGAAAGTACTTAGTGTTTGGGCTTAAAGGGGAAACAGCCAGGGTCTGGGACAGAAGAGCTTGTGCTGTCATTACCTTACCAATGGGCGGTAAAGTGGTTAGATGGAACATGGAGCTGCAGGAGGGAGGCTTTGCTTTTGTTTTTAAAAATATGACATAAACACTACATGTTCATTTTAGAATGTGCAGCTAAGCATGGAAAAAGGAAAACTAAAAACAACCATAATCCTAACATCCAGAACAAACACTATTACCATTTTTATTATATACCCTTCTAGAATTTTATCTTCCTAGTGTTTTTCTTAACATAAACTATTACTATATTCAATATATGCTACTACACATGTACACACACACACACACACTATTTTAACAGTTGTTTTTTTTCCCCTTAACAATTGGTAACTGTCTTCCCACGTCAGTAAATGCACTGCTGTGACTCCATTCTTAATGGCAGTATGCGGGCACACTTAATTGACTAAGTAATTAATCCCTTACTATTAAACATTTAAGTTGTTTTTAACATTTTCATGATTATAAATAGCAACAATGAACATCTTTTCTCCTACATCTTCATGTACTTGTTCAATTCTCTCCTTAAAATAGAGTCCAGAAAGCTGACCTATTGGGTCAAAATATATGCTGCATGTTTTCAAGATACATGGGATACCTCTCCACATCCTCAGAGTCAAGACACAAAAGACCCATGATTTCACTGCTGCCTGTTGTGAACTTGCTTCTAAATCGCTTCTACTTGCTGCTAAACATACCTGTCTACAGGTAACTGAGGTCAAGAACAATCTCACCACTCAGAAGGTTTTTTTTTAATCCAGCATAGGTCTGGCCACATAGCAATAGAAGAATCATTCACACAGTGGCAGTTCCAACATTCAGTAATTCAACCCATATCCATTAGATCAATCAGTGCCCATGCCACATAAGTTGTTCAAAATTTTTATATCACTCCTATGTAGTGTTCTTATTGTCACTGATGTATACAACATAAAGCCATTTGACCCCACGCTAAATAACCCCACCATGCCTGAGCTTGAATTTCTCTTATCATGGCTGTGTTGTCATTTCTCACTACTTGAGACCAGTAAGATTATTCTCATACGTCAAATTCTTTTTGTTTGCTGTTTCTAAGAGTTATGTGCACATACTAAAAGGAAACTTATTTCTCCCAGAGGAACCAAAAGAAAAAGTCCTATTGATAAATTTGTCTAACTTATTTGCAAAGATGAGATTTTGATGAGCATCATGAGACTAAGACCCCTAAGATTTTTCTCAAGCTCACTGTGGAAAAAGTATAAGAACATCTTTCAAAGTCATAAATTTATATGGGGCGCCCGGGTGGCTCAGTCGGTTAATTAAGCATCTGCCTTCGGCTCAGGTCATGGTCCCAGAGTCCTGGAGTTGAGCTCCATGTCTGGCTTCCTGCTTGGCTCCCTGCTTGGCTCCCTGTTCAGCTCAGGGAGTCTGCTTCTCCCTCTGCCCCTCCCCCCTGCTCATGCTCTCCCTCACTTTCTCTTTCTCTCAAATAAAATCTTTTTTTAAAAAAAATCACAAATTTATTTAAGATGTTAATACCTTAATAAGTCATCATATGGGGAGGTTTATGTACAGAAAAACTCAACAGTGGCCTCAAAATTTCCATAAAGAATGGCAATTGGGTTAGAAAAGAACATGAGGGAGGATCTCCTTAAGCAAACTCACACTCACTGACACGGTATTTTTGTTCTGGGTGGCCTCCCCTCCACTGATTCAAAGTGTGCTATTTCCCTAATGATAACTGAAGTCTTCCTTGGTTAGTTAACTCATTCTCCTTGAATTAGTTCACTCTTTCTTCCTAATTTTTGGCCAGGAGAAAGTCTGTAGTATGTTTTGTGTGTATATCTCGTTTATCAGGCAAACTCTAACAAACCAGTCTACCTGTATGAACTTTTCAAATTAATTGAAGTATCCCTATTTGAGTCAAATTACGTTCTTCTTTTTTTTATTTTAACTAGAAAGAATCAGTCTTTGGGTTAGTCTTACAGAAATAATCTCTAAATGTAACTTGCTTCCAGGGAGACATACAAGTGAATCTGGCTAGTAAAGTAGGAAGAAAAATGCTTACAGTTTGATTGCTATGCCAAAGGCCATCTGAAGACTGTGTCACAGTGCCATTCCCATCTGCTCAACAAGAAAGAAAATTAATTATAATTACAAAAAATATTGAATTTTCACTGTAGATACTAAATATATTCACATTGCCTTCTGGTGGTAAATGAAAAGTTGAATAATAATATGGCCAAATGCTGCAGACATTGCAAAAGTCATACCAAGTTACTAAGCTGTATTAATTTATCCTGTAAGTTTGTGTCTCTTGACCATTTTGTCTTGGACCCTTCAAAAATGGACACTGTCTTCCTTATGGAAAAAAAAAATGCATGTATACACAAAGTTTTACCTACAGTTTTAGGGGAATTACAGAGGCCCATTTTTGGAACTGGGTTAAGAATGCCACTTAATGATAGATAATCAATATTTTCATGCCAGCTAAGAACCTGTCAGTGAGTTCCCCAAAGGCCACATGTACATCCAAAGATCAGGACCACTCTATTCCGAATGGACATTACATTGGCTTTATTCAGAACGTGAGTAAAATGTACTAAGAGATCTAAAACAAGTGGTATATAACTCCTACATTATATGCCAATATGCCCAGACTTTGATCCAGAAGTATTTTATAAAATATCTGTTATATCAGCTGTGAAACTAATATATCTTATACTGCCCAAAATCCTAATATAAAAGGATATTATACCTTAAAGCTTCAGTTGTTCAAGCTTTACTAGAGTTTTGAAATATCGATTTTGTAAATATAGCTAGAACTACAAGCTATAACAGTACCCCTCTCATAAAGCTGTCGAATTAGATCATGTAAGTATTAGCTGTTATTAATTATTATGTTACATTGGAGGGAGCAGTGGGGAGAGAGACACTGTGTAATGCACCTCCCAAACATCATATCCTTCTATCATCGTTAACATCCGGGGACGAATGCCACATCTTGCCCATGGGCATGCAGCTAGTAGCTGGCCATTGAATTGGGAGCTGCCTGTCTCTAAAGCAGAACTATAGGGGCTCCCTAATCTAGCAATGGCAATCAATGAGACCTGCCTTCAAAGAATTAAGTGAGATAACGTATGACAGTTGCCTGGCACATACATCTATCCAATGTGGGTGGCGGGCCATATGAGCACCAAAATCCCTTCCAGATCCAACTAACATTCTTTGCTCCTGTGAGTCTTCAGTTCGCTGAAGGCTGATGCAGGCACAGTGAGGATTTGGCTTGAGACCCTCAGGTACACAGCCAAGGTGGCAATGATCACATAAGTCATAGGGGACACAGCTGCTCCCATGTCTGTTCCACTCTGGAAAGCTCTACCTTGACCAGGTTTTAGTCCTATGATTCCCTACTCTGATGTGCTTCCCACTCAAACCCAAGAAGTGTGCAGTACGTCTGCTTCCTACTGCTGCTACCTTGTGTTTCTATTTATTTTCACTCTGTTTTTGTGCCCAGAAACAGTTGACACTAAGGATTCCACTTTCAAAACCAAATGTCACCATTATCTAATTCCAGCTGAATAGGCCCCTCTGTGAATCTCACTGCAGGTCCATTTTAAATTAACCAGCTTCCAGGAATGATTGGTGAAAGGTAAGCCATACAGGAGGGCCCCCTGCAGATTGGCAACTCCTGAGCACAGTGAGTCATAGACATCAAGGAGGAGTCTTGCAAGGCTGGACCTTGTCTGGATTCAGCACAGACACAAGCACATATAAACCAGCTCCACATTACAAAGGGGTTCAGCCTGTGGCACTCCCCAAAATAACCACTATGGGTAACAGAATTATCTGGGGCAAATGAGAGGATATAGCATCACCTTTCTCTACCACAGGAAAGACAGGTGAATCTTAGGTTTCAAAAAAGCAAAGATTATATGAAACCTGCCCAGAACGGGGACAGTGGGAAAAAATTGGAGAAAGCAATAAACATTCTCAGCGGATATGCCTCTTGGTGCTGGTGCTGATGTCCTCAGCCCATCTCAAAATGTCCATGTGCAAGCCTCACATGGCAGCAGGGGAACTTCCTAGATGTACTTAGGGTCTGGGTCTTCAATGAAGCATGAATATGGTTGACCAGTTGGGCCTGGATAATGGAGGGCTGGATTCAACTATTTTATGGCTCTGGCCCAAGAGAGCAAGCCCACTAAGAAGTCTGGAGTCAAGAGCGGCTCATTTGAATAAGAAAAAGAGTGCTTTGCATGTGGGTATTATGCACGTGGATGTTCCCAAATCATACAAGCTCCCTGGGCCAGTGAGGTATATGGATTCTGGACTTTGGAAGTAAGAGTTGCAGTTGCTATTGTATCTATTACTTACCACCTTTTAACTATGTCTTAGGTTTTTCACCTTATTTAATCCTCAAAAGTAAGATCGTTGTTATTCCACCCATTTCACAAATGATAAAAACAGATTCTAAATAAGACACTTGCTCAAGTCACATGGCTGATTCGAGTGGCCAGTATGAGCATTCCTGTCAGATTTGCCCTTTTCAGAATGTGGTCTTTTAACAATGCATCAACGATTATCCAAAGTGAGTATGCCCAGGCGTCCAGGAAAGAAAATGAAGTTACCTGTTGGACAGGAGTACAGTGGTAAATTGGTGGGTTGCCTTGTGCTCGTTTCCTGTGGCGGCACAGTGGGCTGGGTTCCTGCTGTCTGCACTGTAGAAGATGAGGTAGCTACTGAAATGAAAAGAATGAAAGAACTGTGCTCTCTTTGTAAAGGAAAATTCCCACCCCCAACAAAAAGAAAAAACAAAACTAAAATCAGGAATCACCATCAATTTCCCCGCAGTGCCCACACCCAACCATCCCCTGAAGGCATGCCTTGCACCCACCCACTTCCATTCCTTCCAACTTCATCTTAGAAATGTACTGAAAGATGGCCTTGAGGAACTACACTGCCATCTAGGCATACCATTATCATGAAGAAATCTGATCTAGATAGCGATCTGCAGAGTTTCAATATCTAGGGTTATTTCACACGTTTTCTACTCCTAGAATCCCTCTAAATGTCCAAAGCCTACAATAGCACACCTTACATAGGACATCCAATTAAGCTTTTATTCATACAAGTGACATTCCACTTGCACGAAACAGGGCATGGGAGTTGGTGCTAATCTGCCTGTCCCCCTTCACAACAGCCCAATCTAGATTTCCTGGCCTTATTCAAGCTCCCCATTATCCATCCACACATCTTTCCAGGGAGACGCACATATGGATCAGCACAGAACATATACTCAACAATATTTAATTCCTTGAGGTCTCTTTTGAGGTGACAACATTGTCCAATGTCTGAACCTTGGTGATAATTAACAACTCTCAAAGCCTCGTTCTCAGTGGACCTTGACCTGGTTCCTTTAGCACTGGCATTCTGGTCACTCCTTTTGTAAGACTGATTTACTCTGTTACCTGACTCATCTTCAGTTTTGCACCAAAAAGCTTCACTAAGAATCTTCCAGTACAGGGCTAGGTTTCCCTTTCCTTTCTAAAATCACTCCTGTATTTTTTGTCAGATATCTCACCTTACATGTAGCACTGATCACTTGCCTCTGTGTATTTTATTAACATTTTAAATATTTTATTTTTATACACTTTACTCCTAGAGCACCACAAGTTTTAGAGCAAGTTAATGGTGCTGGCTGGACAAGAATTCCCAAACCTGCGCTTTTCTTGCCTTTCATTGGTCTTTCTGTTTTCCCTTCCCCACAGTGGCCTCCACATTTTAACATCACCCTTTTTCATGTTCTGAACTATTTTCCTGCTTCTCTCTAATGCTCAAATCCATAACAGGATGTAGCTCTGTTTAAGAACTAAGAACAGGACAATACAATGAAGTCAGGTGATTAGAAACTTTATTCAGCTTGGATCTGTGCAAAAGACCTCTTGGGCTTAACTTTTTTTTCCAAGTTTGGGTCTTAGCAGGCATCTTTCTTTTCTCCCTGTTTCTACAACCTTACATCCAACCATTCCATGAATATTTTAGGCAACTAGTATACACAAGAGGCACTGAGCACAGGAAGAGCGTGGATGTAAAGATAAATGTCCCCACATTGGATCTGCTCCAGCGTGCACCTCCTTCCTGTTCAACTCAACTCAAACTCATGAGAAAACCATCAAGACAAGGATAAGGCTCAATTAATACTATCCCTGAGGAGGTCACAGGGACATATAAGCCAACACCTTTCTTCTGAATCTTTGCTTTAAACATGCATATTCACCAAACCAAGTCTACTAATCCACCCACATTTGCAGGCACAAACTAAGTATTACAAAGCTAAATCAATATTGAGAAAGTCAACAGATTCTCTAGTGTGTTCAGCTGCCTAGAATGAACAGAGCTGTTTTTCTTACAAACTTTTATGGCTCTAAAATCCCAGTTTTAACCTAAAGCCCTCTCTTCCAAACTCAGCTCAAAGCCCAATCCTTCAGATGCCTCCTGACTAAGTATACATATGGTTCAATAGGAGTCAGGGGAAATCAATATGTTTCATCAGATTTTTCTGGCTAAGATGTTGTGACATCTCTGTTATTCCTCAGAATCCAGTGTTACCCCAAGGGGTTAAAGAGTTTCGGAGGCTTTAAGAATCTTCACTAAAAGTTATCTTTTTAATCCTAGAGATAGAAGGTTTGAACCTAACCTTGTCCTCAGAATGGCAAGCTATTTCTATACCTTTAGGTCAAATTATTCTCCACTTGTATTAAATCTAAGCTCTTATTTATCAGAAGTTTGAAGTATGAACCATGTGGCCCGAATAAAAAAAAAAGACGTGTAAATTCTAAATCCCTGAAGTCTTTAATCTGATGTTTACTTTTTCATCAGTATAAATAGCATCTTTTGCTATTTCCATGCCACATAAATAAGTTAAAGGATGCTGGAAGCAAAACTGTGTAAGTAGATTGACTGCCCAGAGAAGACAGGGTAATTGTATAAAGGATTTTTCAGTGAGGATATCAGATCAAGACAAATTCACTGGAACATAAGCTCAGTGCTCATGGCAGAAGGCACAGTCAAGTCATTAAAAGCACAGGCCCAAAATTCAAATTCATGGAGAAGGAATCCTATTTCGAGTAGTTTCTATCCATATAACTTTCCACAATGAACTCAGACTCTGTGCCTTAGTTCTCACAACTATAAAATGGAACTGAATCACACCTCTAGTGCATAGGGGTTGTCATAAGAATTAAGCAATATAATACTTGTAAAGCACTTAGCATGGGTCCTGTCACACAGGAAACAGAGTAAATGTTAACTTCACTGAAATCTCATCCTCAAGTGGAGGTCTCACTTCAGAATGGACTAACTGATCTCTACTCAGAGCTCCTTATAAGGACAGAATCTCATTAACCTGACCCTTATTCTCTGGTATTCCTATTTTTGTCTCAAAAACCTGTGCTCAATTGGGCTAAATCCACTCCACCCTCGTTAGATGTCTAAGATCAATGGTCTGGCTTTTTGGGGGGTGTTGTTAATAATGAATGCCTTGGAGAATCTGACCAAAAGCTATGAGTTCCCTTGCTCTAAAAATGATTATATGTAGAAGGGTGCATATAATCTGGGACAGACCCTGTGAAGCCCATGTTTGGAACCCAGGTAAGAACCCTTAGCCTAGACTGTACTTCTGCCTTAACACAATGCGTTGGATGGTCGACATCTCATTAGATGATCTCCGGGCTCAAGAAACACATTTGTTTACCTGACTTGAGGTTCTGCATGGGTGCTGGCGTTGAAGAAGTAGAGGTAAAGACCCTAGGTGACGTTGGAACACTGGTGACCTCAGCTGGAGTTAGAAACCAACATGAAAGCAAGGATTAATTGAGCAGCAAGAAACAAGAGCCTTGTGCTGGACCCATGTACTAATGCAACCAATGAGAGACTGTCCCCAGACAGAATTAGGCACTGATCTTCCCTGAAAGCAGAGTTCTTGTCATTGGTCAACTAGAATCTGTGACAAAGGAGGGCTCTGAAGACATACTTGCAAAAAGGAAACGGCTGCATTAAAAGGATATATTTGGGGAGGTTCAGAGGTGAAAAATGTCACCTGGGATTTGCACTGAAGCATTTTGAAAGACTAGTCATGCATATCAGATTTCTGTATCTTCATAAACATCTGTGAGATAAGGAAAATGTCTAGAGCCTGGAGCTGCCTTTATCCTCTCCGTGGTGAATGACTAAGACTTCAACAGTAGTTCTCAGGCCTAGAATGCTTACCAAATAAATAGCATTCAGTCCAGTCAGGCCTGAGGGAGGCATACTGAAAGAGGGACCTGCATCCTAAATGAGGACTAACTCACACCCATTAGCATATGCTAGATAAATCACACAGATGATTTATACATTTGGTTAGAAGGTAAACTAGACCTTTTGCGTTCCTTCCCACCTAAGAGGTAACAACAGCTAGTAACGTTGACTCTGGCTCTTTCCAATTCAGCAGCGGTACAGGATTCCAAATCACTTAGTGAATGTGTCAGGGCTACCCAGACGGAGCTAAAACCAGAAGTTAGCCCAAACAAAAGCAAACCAATGAAGGACTGAATCAAGAATGTATACTTTTGATCTCACTAGGCACCTTTTTTCTCTGTAAGAAGTTTCCTTAAATTTTGACTTGACTTACTACAAAAGAAAACCCATGTCACGTAAATAGGGGACAGTTGCTTTGAAAACTTTTCTTTCTGAAAGATCCAATTTAATTTAGAATCTGAAGAGGAAAAATTTTTTTTCAACAAATATTTGTGTCTATTATATGCAAAGCATTAGTCCAAAGCAGAGATCAGCAAAGTTTCTGGAAAGGTCCAGACAGTAAATGCTTTAAGCTTCAGGGGCACTTGCTCCACTCTGCCTATGGGGAAGCCACAGTGGACAATGTATATATCAAATGGGTATGGCTGCTCAAATAAAAACATATAAAACAGCAGGCCTGTTTTGTAATCTGATCTAGCCCTGGGGCTTCGGTCTGCTGACCCTGATCTAAGGTGTAGTTAGCTACTTTCAAAAAGAGTACAATCCAATTCCCTCCTTCCAGTTTAAAAAATCTACTCTACAGGGGAAAAAGCACATATGCAGAAAATCTGATCAAAGGAGAGTAAGGGAAACAATAGAGGTGGTAACCTAATCAAATTGTCTAATGAACTTGGTATCTTCAGTGGCAAATATTTTCCCCGGCGGAAGCAAGGAAACTGTAACTGTAGATGGTAGTGGAAAAAAGCCTGAACAGAAGCTTGAAGAGTAAGCTCAGCCGGTGAAAAATGCAAGCAAACTTAAGCAAAGAATTGGTTATCGGAGGCAGTCTCCTTGGCTCAGTTAAGGACCCTCTTCCCACTTGACAAGAGCACCGCCCTTGTAAGTGCCCACCTATTAAAAAATTTCGGAGCACTTCACAAGTGTCCTACTAATTTCTCGGCTATGTCAATTCTTAACATTCAGCCAAACCAATAATAAATTTCACAAATCCAAAAAAGTTGCAATCATAATCTTTTCTCCACATGCTGCTTCCTTGCATCTGTCTAGAGCACACAATTATCACCAGCCTCTTTTGGCTTCCCTAAATTGCTTCCCACAGATGGTTTTCCCCACGGTCAGCTATTTTCTCCATCAGAACTGACCTTATGTCACTAGTCTTCACAAAAGAAACAAACCAAGTCCAAAAGTTGGGAGATTGCAAAACCAAGTTCCTCTTAATTAAAAAAGAAATGAGAAAGAAAGAAAGAAAGAAAAAAGGAAGGAAGGAAGGAAGGAAGG